AAACATTAAGAAACATAACGGTGAAAAAAGATAGAAAATAACTACTGTCTTTTTTTGTTTTTTTTTTCCCTTGTGCTAGGGAGTAAATTTAGGGCTAGTGTATGCCAGACAAGCGTGTATTTCTTATTAGAGAAACAAGGATGTAGTTAGTGTAAGAATGTCTGGGACATAATTCAACCTAATAAAAACAGAAGGACTTGACGATGACAGGTCACATGTGTTCCACTAGTTGTGACAACTGAAGAATCCAGTTACTTGCCTTATTTTGAGAAATGATTTAGATTCTCTGGGAGAGGATCCTTGTGATCATTTTAAGATTTATTTGAATGAGGTGATGGAGATTTAGGAGGAGCAAACTTTTGTACAACAATTAAAATTCTCCAAATAATGTGACACATAAGACATCAGTACATCTCAGCTCCGATGACGAGGACCTAGACCTACGCCAGATCCCTGTGTGAAAATGTGACATCCTGGGACCTGGCATGCAGCAGCACAGCATCTGATAGAGTGAGGGGGAAGCAGGCCTCCAGGACGCCTTCTGCCTGGCTCTCTGCTTCGGCAGGCTACACTTCCATCACAAGCCAGGCATTTTTCTGTTAGCGGTCACACAAGAACACAACCTAGTTTACTGATTTTTGGTGCTGGGATAGTACCCAGGGTCCTCGTGTACTCTACTACTGAGCTATGTCCTGTGCCCTACCCTCTAGGTTATAGCAAAATTCTAGTTTAATGTGAGAAACTCAGGTTAGAGTATTTTTTTTTAACTAGTTACAACAATTTTAAAAGCCATATGCAGGTAATTATATGATATATGTGTGTGTGTGTATCCTTTTTTTTAAAATGGTAAAATCATAGAATCAATTGTTTAAAATATTTTTCTCACAACTTCTATTTCTCCTGGGGAAAATGCTGACTTACCAGCAAAAAAGAAGGATGTGGAATTATAATTTTTTGTTGTTTGAGGCAATATAGTTTCACTTATATAGTTTGGCTTGGAACTAGACCAGGTTAGCCTCAAACTCACAGAGACCTGCCTGCCTCTGCCTCCCAAGTGCTGGGGTTTAAAAGTGTGCACCACCACACCCGATCCTGTAATGCTTAAAAAAAAAATCATAAAATGGATGAGCACTCTAAAGTAAACTACTAACAAGGAAACAAAACAACGCATTCCTTACTACAGCCTCAGGAAACACTATTCATTTATAGTTTTTAAAGATTTATTTTTATTTTGTGTCTATGAATGTTTTGCTGGCATTCATGTATGTGTACCACATGTGTACCTGTGGGATACCCAGACACCAGTATTTTGGACGGTTGTGAACTACCATTATGAGTGCAGAGACTCAAACCTGGGTCCTCCGCACAAGCAACAGTGCTCCTAAGTGATGGGCCGTCTCTCCAGCTCCGAGATTTCCTTACTTTTATTTTATGTGTTTTGTCTGCATGCATGGCTGTGCATCACATGTGTGCAGGGCCTGTGGAGGAATAGGGAACCAGATCCCCTGAAATTGAAGTTGTAGACGGATGTGAGTGGCCGTGTGGGTCCTTGGATGTGAACCCAGGTCCTCTAGAAGAGCATTCAGTGCTTTTAACCTTGGAGGCATCACTTTGGCCCCAAACTTACTATTTATATAGAAACAGATCTAAAATCTTTTTTTTTTTCTTTTTTTTTTTTTTTTTTTTTCGAGACAGGGTTTCTCTGTGTAGCTTTGCGCCTTTCCTGGGACTCACTTGGTAGCCCAGGCTGGCCTCGAACTCACAGAGATCCGCCTGCCTCTGCCTCCCAAGTGCTGGGATTAAAGGCGTGCGCCACCACCGCCCGGCTCAGATCTAAAATCTTAACCATCAATAACGGGAACTAGACACTGGTGATAACGAAGTACAGCGGACCAAACGGAATGGTCACATCACACAAGCACCTTCATGACGTGGAAAGAACTGGGAAAGTATAATTCACTCAGTACAAGAACGGTAATACTGAGCATCTTTAAAAACCAATACCCAGGAAACAAGGACACGGACAAGACCAGTGCTGCCCACTGTGGCAGCAACTGGCTGTTTATGTCAAGTCCAATCAAAAGGAGACCGTGATCAAAGTGAACTCCACATATGAAACTGACAGAATAAAAACTCAAAATGAAATTAGCTGAAAATTTAGAAAGTACTTTGTGGCACTTGCCACATGAACTAGTGCATCCGATAACAGTATTTCTATCGGCTCAGAGCTACGGGACAGCTGCTAGTCTACACAACCCCAGTAGAGAATGAGCAAAGTCTCCAAATATCCAAGTCAGTAACAGAACAGGACTCACCGACAGACTCAATGCGGAAGTCAAAACTTAGCTCAGAGGCCAGCTTCTTACTTGACTTTAGTTTTCCTTGTAGGTTTACAATTTTTACAAATTCTTAAAAGAAATAAAAAAAAAAAAAGTTAAGACTGGAAATGAAAATTTCCTAAAACCAATATAATGAATTTTATATGGGGTCAAATAATATATTCTTAATAAGGTTCAGAGATTTATCCTGATTGGGATATGCCTAGTGAGAAACTGGAATTAATGTTTTAAAAGATACACAATTACAGTGCTGTTTATTTAGTAAGTGAGATTTTTGCTACTTTTAAAATTAAATAGATATACCGAACATCAATATCTTCATTTTTAAAAGTGGCTACTTTGATGCTCAAATATTTAGTGATGAGTTGTGATTTTTTCCCTCACATCCCACAGCATTTGCCAAGCAGCACTTGCTCAGTTCCCGACTCTGCCATTTGAGCTCCAGGTCTGTGAGGCACAGTGGGCCCCAGGGCAGTAAGCTCTGCGTGGGGACATGTCAACACAGCCTCAAGGAGGCCTGAAAAACACCCTTTGCTTTTCGACTGTCCACTCCCATGATTCGAGATTACAAGCTTATCTCCACTGCTGTCTACCCAAACCAACTGATAAGCCACAGAGCTGGGAAGACAGTTTCCAAGACCACTTCTGTAACAGCAGAAACTGGTTTAATCAGGAACCACCGAGCCTTGGTCATCGATGTGCTCCTAACATTGTGTTACAATGGAGGACACTGACGAACAGTAAGCATGAGGTCCTCCCTTCCATGACTCACAAGGTGCAGGGCTTTAGCAGGAAGCCTTAGGCTTCTTAAATTCCGGTTATGCTTATCTGGTTAATAACAAAATGTGTATCTTTTAGGATGAGAAAACTGATGCAATGTCCTTCTAGGTAACTTTGTGACGCTCTTACTTGACTGGTGTTTAGAGTCAACCCCTAGCCAAGGGATGGTAGCCATGAAGCCTTGTGGGCTTGGTTTACTCAGTTGGTGTATTAGATGATCTTACACACACAGCTAGTTCAGCCACTAACAGGAGACTGAAAATAGACTAATCAGAGCAAAGACAGCCATGTTTCAAACATAATCCCAAGACTGGTCCAGTCTGTCCTGCAGTACTAACTACATAAAGATCAGATGGGTTTTAAGAACCAGAGTGCCTCATCTGCCAAATCAAAGTAACACTGCTGCTAAGTTGTTTTTTCCTGCCTTCCCTGCTTACCCACAACACACTTCCACTAATGCCGTCTCCCCTGCACCACAAGGTCAAGGGCGGCAGGTGGAGTGTCAACTGACAAGCCTCCAACAGTTAATGTCAAGGATCCTAGGGTCACAGTTTACTGTGACCTTTACTCTCATTCATTACAGTGGGAGGGAGCCGCTTATTCAGAAATTCCCTAAGAGTGGGACAGTGCTAAGGTCCATCCCCCACGTGAGCCAAAGGGAAAGCGAAAAGATGGCCCCAGGGGACAGAGCAATGACCCTCTTTGTCAATACAATCAGGTCGCCTAAAGAGGAGGCTTGACTGACAGAGTCAGTTTCATTAAAGGGGCTGCTTTATGAAGTAGAACACTCAAAATAAACTTTAAAATAATACTCACTGTCTAAACACACCAAAACAGTATCTCTCTCCAACTGCGTCACGTGAATGGAATCCAGCTGTTGGCTGCCTAAGTGGGGAAACGTTACAGTTAGCAACATGCTTCAGTAAACCAGGGCTCAGAAAACCAGCACAAAGTCTGACGCTCACTGTGATTTGCTCTTTAAAATATGGTGCAAATTGCACTTTGTCATGTTATCATTAAAAAAATAGCTATGTATTCCAGTTTAGGAGAACAAATGTCAGCTCTAACATGGATAAACTGAGCTGAGAAATGTAGCATTGCTTTAATTACTACTCTTGTTCTGGAAAGGCAGATGAGGGCAAATATGGGGAAGGAAAGGAAGACACACACATCAGTTAGCTTTTGTTCTACACTTAGGAGAGATGGAATCTGTCAGGGCCAAAGGAAACTCCACTTCCCCAAACCCCAAAAGCCCGTCCATATATCCAGAAATGAGCTTAACCTGGGCTACAGGAGGATTTCTGGTGGTTAGATAGAAGCCAGCATTCCTCAGGAACTTGAGAGACTAGTTCCCATCTACCAAAGGAGTCCTTTCCCTTACTTCTGGCCGAAGGGACATGGCTACCTTTGGCGCCTATCAGCGTATCAAAGCCCATGCTGGCTCCAGGCCCCCTCAGCATCACAAGTACCGACCACACATTTCAGAGTCCAGGCTGGCATCCTAGTTCTCACCTCCTCCTCTGCCCTACACTCCGTCCAGCTCATGGGCTTCCCTCCCCACAGCTACTCCTTCTCCTTCTAACCCCACTGGTGTTGACAGGCTTCTGTCTCTATGCTTCGTCTACTCTCCACCCCCTGCTCTTCTCCCCTGTTTTCAGTCAGTCCCGCCATGTCCAGTCTCCTGGCCACATTCAGTCTATCTCTTTCTGCTCTGGATTCTTGCAGGTGCCTTTGGCTGTTCTCTCTCTCACATCTACAATAAAAACCTTCCCCTTAACCATACCATGAGCAGTCATGTCGTCAGCTTATACAACAGGCACATGGTGCCTCTTACAGACCGACCACTGAGTAGCACAGTAGACCACATCATCAATACAACCAACACATTATCTTTAAGGTGATACACCAACCGTAATTTTTCTCAGCTAACCCATGTTCATTCACTCACTCAACAGATACAAGGAGTGACCATGCAATAAAGGATCACGTACGCAGTAAGGACTCAGAATCTGGGAAGAAGGACTCCTAGAAGGACTCCTAGAACAGAGGGCATTTCAATACTCCAGCTTTGCCAACTGCAGGCTCTCGGCTCAACAACAACCATGGCTAGGAGTTAGATTAACAGTTGCCTGTGAAAACGAAACCTAATGATAGGCTAAAAGCTGGACTAGAAAGGGTGCCTCGCCTGTGTGCAAGGAAGATCTGATGATGGCCTCAGAGGCCTGGCTCAGCTCAGGAAGTAAGTTTTGGTCTGTTTTCACTTTAGCTGGGACAATGTTAATGCTGGATATAATATGACCTCAGGCATTAGAACACAACAAAGCCTCAAAAACCAACTCAAACTCTGAGATTCCAAAGATTCAACAAATTTCTCCCCCGAGGACTGGAGCCCCCAGAGCACCACCTGGAAGAAAGAGGCTGTACATCGCCACCAGGGAACCATGCAATGGTGGGCGGCGCTACAGCAACCGGCAAACAACCTGTGCGGCTATGGATAACCATTATTTGAGTTTTTATTGTTATTTTTAAAGATAACAGTCTTTGTTGTTGTTGTTTTCAATCCTTTTGAGCCAGGGTTTCATTATGTGACCCTGCCTGCTCTTGCCTCTGGAATGCCGGCATTAAAGGCGTGCGCCAGCATCCCAGCCCAATCATGCTGTTTTAAACTGATCTACAGCCGCTTTCTGAGTGCCACTTGCCTAACAGGGAACCATTTCTATCTAGACTGCTTACTTTGGCAACAGGCAGGCAATGCTACTTCACACCTTTCCGTGACCTTCACAGGAGGCACACACCCAACTGCAGAAGCCGCCAAGCCACACGGAAAGGCAAGGTACAGGCGCAAACGCCTTCCTTCTTTACCCTACAGGAAACCACGGCTTGGTCCGAGCGGGGGAATTCAGAGTTCAGGGCATGCCAGCTTGTTAAATCTCCAGGAACAGTCACGTGACCTCAGGCTGTTGGTCTGAGACCGCCTCTGATGGCTGTGTCACTCTTTAGGTGACCACAACAAATGGCTGCAGCAAAGGTCATGTTGTAAAGCTAGGACATCTCTGGGTCACACTGATTTGTCTCTGTAATGTGCGTGATCAAACACAGGCCTTGCGTATGCTAGTTACAGACACTACCACGGAGCTGCGCCCCAGGCTTATACTGAAAGTGACACTCACGTGGGGTGGACGGCAAGCTTCCCTAGTGGGGATGCTTAGTGAGTTCTTAGAACTCCGTCCGTACGCTATCAAAGCCAGGAGGCACCAGATGCAATACTGTAATGTGGTGGAGACTGAACAGTGGTCTAAGAAGGCCGCCACAAACCGCCTGAATTCTTTTCAAAGTGGCCTCATAAATCAGGGTTGACAGATGACAAAATAACACAGAAGCACAACAAGCAGGAAAGCGAGGGTCCCCTCTCTTCATACTCCACAGATTTAAGAGAGAAATTCTTCAAAGTCCCCTCGGACAGTGCTTTTGAAACAGACATTTCATTGTCATTAACCAGTTACCCTGGGGGGTTAGCGAACATCAGAATCATCCCCAACCACAGCCCCAGCCTGTCAATCATCTTCCCCATGCCTGGACCCTGCAGACTTCCTGTCTTCGCAGCCTAGTCCATTGGGCTTGCAAGGATCCTTTTCAGTGCCTACAGGTGAGAACACACGGCGCCTGTCCTTTGACTTCTCACTTGCTCCATGTTCAAGTCAGCCTCCTTCTCTTTCTTCCCTCGACCCAGGATCCCCGTATGTAGCCGGGGTGGCCTGGCTCACTGTCCCCCACCTTCACCCGCTAAGTGTTGAGACTGCAGGCTTGTGCCATCACAGCCCACACAGGTTCACATCTGTCATGGTTGAGTACTAGTCCATGGTGGAGATGTACAAGTTCTTCACCTATCCATCAGCTGAAATCAATCTAGGGTGATTCCACATCTTGGTTATTGTGGAGAATGCGGCAATAACTATGTGTGTGCAGCTCTCTTTTCAGCATACTGATTTTGTTTTCTCTGGAAAAGAGGTCATACCTAACAGTGTAACTGCTGGGTGATGTAGCAGTTCCATTTCTAGCCTTCGAAAGGCCTCGAATTCTTTCTGTAACGGCTGCACTAACTGAATTCCGCCAGCAGCTTCTCCCTGCATCCTCACCTGAGTTTGCTACTGCTCGGTCTTGGATGGCATCTCACACCACTACTGACTTGCATTTCCCTGTTGGTTATATCTAGTGGTACTGGGTATTGTTTTCATTGGAAAAATGTATTGACTGATTTTTCTAAACCTGAACTGTGAGCAAAACTTCCAGAGCTTTCACTGAGATACGTGTAACAAACTTCTACATTAACCAGCCAATCGTAGAAAGAACAATAAATATTCCAATGGAAAAGCTTGAAGGCCACTTCAGAAATGTCTATCCATGTCTGGAGAGCACACCCACCAGTTGTAAAAGGTAATGGTGGTGGGGAATAAGAAAAACAGGACAGGGACAGGAGGGACCTTTCTTAGCTTGAGATACATAACTATTTAGTAAGCCCAAAGGCAAACTTGTAACAACTCAGACTTGAAATAGAAAAAGAAAAAAGTTTATTTATGTGTATGATGTTCGCCTGCCTGTGTGTCTGTGTGTCACAAGCATTGCCTGGTGCCCATGCAAGCCACAAGAGGCCATCAGACCCCTGGAACTAGAGCTGTGAGCCATCTCATAGGTGCTAGGAATTGAACCTGGGTCCTCTGCAAGAGCAGCCAGCTCTTAACCATGGAGCTATCTTCAATTACGTCAACAACTCAGACTTTTAAATGCCAAGGATATTTAAAACTTCTTCAGTAAAATTAATTTGTGTAAAAATTCCTTGGGCAAGGGGCCAATGAGATGCTTGCTGTGAAGCCTGATGACCTCAGTCAGGGCGATCCTTAGCATCCACACAGTGTAGGGGGAGAACTGACTCCCACAAGTACGTGCACCACCCACACCTAAAAAAAAACAGTCCTTGGGCAAATGGAGATCACAACTACATGTAGGGAATTTCTTGGGCTTACTTGGAACATTACACTTGCATTTTTCATTTCTGAGACCACAATGATTGAAATTAAGCCTTTTGCATCTAGTATAGGCGAAAGCATGGATCGTAACATAAAGTGAAAAACACTCACCTGCACCGATTTCTGTAAACCAGGAAGATGCAGAATTCAAGTTGATTGTCTCAAACTGAACTACTTGGTTTGACTCGGTGCCTTTGCTGATAGCCACACAAACCATGGGGTACTCCTGTTCTGGTATTACCAGCATTTCAAAGACATTCAGTGGACTTGGCAAAGGAAAATCAAAATGCTGCAACAAAAAACCAAGAGAAATAAGAGACATGTAGCAATCTTCTGTTCACACCGTGTTGAGTGAAGTCAGCTGAAAGGCTGGAGTCACCCTGTCTCATTCTATACAAGTTCGCCTCTCTGATGACGAGTGTGAGTGCCTCTGGAGAGACTTAGAGTACTGGCCACACTGCTGTTTGTGGCTAGGATGAGTCCAGAGCTTATTAGTAACAGTGAGTTACAGAGAAGGTATTACGAAGCACCTCAACATCACACACAGTTCCCACAAACTCTCAGGGGTTGTGTCTATAGTAGTAATTACAGCTTTAGCCTAGTGTAGCTACTCACAGTGTTTTGTCAAGAAGGAAAATGTAAAAAAGCCACATGTACCTTTATCAACATGAATTTCTGCATCGGTTCATACCACTGCAGCAGAACAATTCCAGACTGCAAAGCTCCGCAGAGGTATTTATGTCCCGTGTAAGGGTTTCTAACTGAAAAGAAAGAAAAAAGATAAAAAACCCACCCACGTGCACAACACTGAATGCTTTTGTGAGAAAATAGTTCATCTAAAATGACAGCTGAACTACATTCACTTAACAGCTAAGAGGCGTTTCTTTCTTTTCTTTTGAGACAGGCTCTTACTATATAGTTCTGGATGGTCTGGACCCCACTCTGTAGACTGGGCTGGCCTTGAACTCACAGAGATCCCCCTGCCTCTGCCTCCCGAGTGCTGGGATTACAGATGTGCACTCCCTCTCCTGCTCAGGTTATTTTTCTTTATGAAGGCAGATGCTGGTATGAGGAAATGCCAGTGGTGTGTTGTGAATCAACTGTAGTGCAGAAGGAAAAATTATTTGAAGTGACTTTTTTTTTAGCTGACAAACTACTGTCTTAACCAAGATGATAAGAATGGGTAGAAAATAAATGTTGCCTTTCATTTTTATTTAAACAAAAAATACCAATTGGAGATGACAGATATTTCTTTCTAAATGTCTTTAATATGCTGAGTACTTAGCCATGGGAATTTTTGATGTGATCTATACTGTCAGTTCTAAAACATGGAAGCTACTCTATAAACCCAAAACCTGCTTCTAAATAATCTGAAATGATAAAATCTGAGGTCCAGGGACAACTGGAACTGATACATAATGTTTCTATGACAGAGCAGCTTGAGGGATGATGAAGATAACTTACCATGTTGATTGGATATGCATGTATTAATTCATCTTTTTGTAACACCCTTGGCTCAAATCTACAAAAATCATCTGGGTCGTTTTCTCTCCCGAGTGTGACTCCCAACAACCACAATATACAATGGTTATGTGAGCAGGTACTAGCTCTAAGTTCTGTAGAACTGTGTCAAGTCTTAGGACTATAAGCTTCTAGACTTTTCTGGGCCACAGATCTTGGGATGACGACAGACAAATGACTCTCCCCAGGAAGCTGAAATCTGGTTATATCGTCTCGCACTGTGCAATTTCTCAGTCAGTGAAAGCCTGAGTATACCGTGGTGGTTCCAGGGATTACATCACTTGGTGACATGTCACTTAAGCACAACGGTTGAAGTCGCCCAATGACATACGCATCACAAGGGACACATGACTGCAGACAGGCACACTGGGGTTGAGGCGTTTGTTCTACAGAGTATCTTTTCATGAAGATAAACACGTAAGCTCCCTTAGCAAACAAACAAACCCTGGAAGTTAGGAGTCCAAGACCCAGATCTGATTCTAGGTTCTATTACTCCCTTGTGACATCATCACTGTCCAGAACTGTTGAGGGATAAGTGTGATAGTCATGTAGTAAGGAACATAACTGCTGCTTCAAAAGAAGTCCATCCTCTACCATTCCTGTCCCGAGAGACAGCCGCTAAGCCTTTGGAATGCTATGCTTGAGCCCTCATCATGCCTTATATCTAACAACACAATTTAGGGCAGGGTCAGCAACAGCAGACAATTTTAGTACGAGGAGCTGGTCATGCCAGAGACCAAGAGTGTGCCTCTGGGTGGGGGGCTTTGACTCACTAGCGTCAGCTGGTCAATGGAGGGGTCAGATGGGAGAATGGCCATGTGGGTCATCTCACACCTTCATGATGGAGCCTCAGTAAAAACTCAGGATGCTGGAATCAACAGCTGAGTGGTGATGCTGTGTGAACTGCCACACAGTCACACCATGAGGGACCACACTGGTGTCCACTACTTCAGCAGCACCACCACGGGCAGGCCTGCCCCTGCCTCCCGCTCTCCTTCACACAGCGGGTTTGAACCTGTATTCTACCGTGCAATCACAGCCGCAGACATCACTCCTGTCAGTGAGTCTGTGAGTCCTTCTAGCCAGTTTTTGAATCCGAGGGTAGTTCAGGGTTAATACCAACACAGATGATGCTAGGCCACAGCTGGTTACGCTCTCCTCCTGACTTTTCATCTTATTTGTACTGTGAGATTCCTCAGGTAATAAAGATACCGAAAGCTGTGACCGTCCGGCGGGAGAAGCAGGGTTTACTCACCGATGCAGCACTTATGGCAGCCTTTTGTATCGGGGATCTTCGTGGTCAAGGCAAACTTTCTGCAAATATAAGACAATATGAATGAACTCTGTTGTGGCCTCCATATGGTGACATATGAACCAGCTGTACCAGAATCAGACAGGAAGGGGCTTAACAAACAAAAACAAGAAAAACAAAACACTGCCTTGGACTCTGCCTGCAGACTGTGGTTTTATAAGATGAAGAATTTGTTATAAAATTTCCATAAGTGATTTTCATGCAGGAAGCATGAATTATTTCCAGTTTGGATGACATGTAAGTTAAGAACAGGAAGCTTAAAAATAGACACAAATACCCTCACCCCCAGGAGGATTGAAATGGTATTCTGTACCTTGGCAGAATGCGGTCAGGAAACCTATGAGTTTGGATATGGGCAGCTAATCCTGGTTTCTTGGCTTGTTCAAACAAAGCGATAAGATTGTGAGAGTAGAGCTGAGAGGTTTTTCCTGTAAAAAAAAAAAAGAAGAAGGAGGAGGAGGAGGAGGGGAGGAAGAG